TTATCTTAAATAAAATTGCTATTCGAGATACTCAGAAAATTGTAAGAAACAAATGAAGAACGTTATGCAGACCGTTGTATTTAAAAATATTTCTTTCTATTAGCAGTAATAAAAACATCCTTTTATAATATGTTTGCATTAAACTTATCTGGGTAATCTCCATTCATCTTGATTTAATTCGTCAGACACTAGCGATGTCGGGTCATGATAAAAAATAGAGGATTAAAGAGAAATTATACTAGTTCTCTCGCTCATATTTCTTTAACAAACAGTTATGGATGCATTACCATTCTCAGGCAGAAAACATGAAAAAAAACATGAACAAAGTCGCAATTCTCAAAAGCAAAGTGGAAAACAAACTGGGCTACACCCTAAAAAATCCAATGACTTTTAGGTGATTTTTACATATACATTCTCGGACCCGACTCCGGCAATAGGCTAAAAATGAAGATGACTTTTAGGTGATTTTATGTATTCATTCTCAGACCTGATTGCCGGGCTCGACTCCGACAATAGAGTAAAAATGAAGATGACTTTTAGGTGACTTTTATGTATTCATTCTCGGACCTGATTGCCGGGCTCGACTCCGACAATAGAGTAAAAATGAAAATGACTTTTAGCTATACCTGGTATGTGGATTCTAGGAGGTGATTGTGGGAGTTGACGCGGACAGTAGAAAAAGTTCAAAAGACTTGTTGCGTGTGTTTGGTATTTGATTATTAATTTGCATTTGTAGATTAATAGTTTTACCGTGAAACGTTCGAGAATCGTAGAATGGCAAGATTTGTAGCGATGATTTGTTCCGGTCACTGTTCCAGTAGTGTAGAAAACCGTGAGAATGTTTCAAAGTCGTTTTCCACATTAGGGGAAGAGTTTAGTAAGTACTTGATATAGTATTTTCATGGTGTAAGTGAAAGTTTTTTGTATTTCTCTCAGGCGTTGGAAAGATAACGGATTTAGATCATCAGACGAAGTTTATTAGAAAAATAGTTGAAAAACAACATCTTCGTCAACATGAGCGGCGGTAAGCAAAGTCAGATATTGTTTATTTTGCAACAAAACGTTTCTCTTTGTAGGCAGACGCAAAGTTTGGAAATGTACGATTACAGAGTAGATCCAGTGGAAAATTTTAAAGCAATTATCCATATTTCCACGCAAAGTGGTAAAGCCGATTTTGATGTAAGTATCTACTAGTGATTGTGAAATTTTATAGTCCATCACAGATTTTCTGGTTCTTAGGAAGCAGAACGTATCATATCAACAGCCAAAATTATTACGTTCGATACCGAAAGTGTGTCCAGTGTCCCTTATGGACAAAAAATGAAAATAGATACGGAAAACTGTGCGCTGTGACAAACAGCTATCGAAACAAAAATAAATAAATTTTATATTGTTTTATTTTATTTATACGAGTTATTTCATTCCATGGTGAGTATCTGTATATTACGTTACACTTCGCAGGCTAAATTCCCTATTCGAGGAATCACTAAAAAATCGTAATTAATCGGCGATTTTTTATTGAAAGTCGCGATCCAAACTGAACCGATGCCAAGCACATGAAGGCCATAAGCTTTTTTTTATCGCGCAGCCTTGTAGACTTGATCCAGTGGTAATCTTCGTAATATTTGAATATTTTAGCGTGCAGCTCCAAAAGAAGCTATAAAACTTATTATCATGGTATTCAATAATGATTCAATAAAAGTTAGCCACTGTTATGGCACATATTAAAGACGTGCCATAAGAGAGAATCGCATGATAGATATCATACATATATATAGATATTCGGTCTCTTTCTTGCTGTCAGGAATTTCCCCAGTGTTATTTCTTATTATCTATTACGTGTATCTTTTTCGTTCTCTTTCTTTCTATGAGGAATTTCCCAGTGTTAGTTCTTTTCGTTCTCTTCTCTCTATCAGGATTTTCCCCAGTGTTAGTTCTTGGTTTCTTTAGTTTCTATGATCTCTTACATGTCTCCCCAGTTCCCCAGTGTAGTTTATCAACTCTAGAATATTCGGCTTTTTGTGTAAACTTAACTATAAATATACGCTAATTTTGTGCAAAAGGGATGATCTTCAATAAAGTAATAAACTACTTATACACAACAACGTAATCCGGACATAACAGCCACGATCTTTCTAATGATATTGGACGTTTATTATCGTTGGATCAACAACGATTAATTCATATAAAATAAAATGCCAAAAATGAAATTTAATATTTTCACGACATTGTTCCCTTTTCCAATAATCAAACAAGTTGTTAAGTTTTACTGAATCAAGCCAGTTAATCACATTCTCGAACCATTGTTGTTTTCTTCTATTTTCTGTGTAATCAACTGGTATTTCACACATAATTTTTTCAAGAAGGTCATTAATGATGGATGTTGGCAATGTGTGTAAAAATTCTGTTATTACTAATATTGTTAAGGATGTGTGGATCATTTTCACAGCTCGCAAAGATTTGTTAAAATGCGATACGTTTAATATGGCTCTTAATGCTGCCCCCTTATACACATAACCTAACCGATCATCGATGCCAGATTGATCCAAAACGTCCCATATAACAGACATATAACATTTCATAAGATGAAATTCCCCTGGATATATTAGTATCCTCTCAAAATCTGTTGCGTGTTCATATTTAACCTAAACAAAAGAAAAACTGGATAAATATGAAACATATACCTTTCAATAGAATTACTTGTACACAATTTCGATAGATTTTTTCATCAACTACGATGACAGCTTCTTCTTGAAATTTCGAATCAATAAATGCCTCTTTTGTACTTTTCATACATAACTCAGCCGTTTCGAATTTCTTGGATCATCATTTATTGGAGTACAAAATGTGACTTTATGAATCGGTCTTGTTGGAAATGATAAATGTGTTGCAAAAAAACCAGCCAACAAAGGTACGTGGACGTGTTTTTCGCTAAATTTTAGTT